GATTGATTATGCCTATTGCGGTGCCTAGCATTCAGGATTGTCATTTTCTTGATTAAGAACCTATAGAGTGAAATTGTATTGAGCGATTTGAGTGAATAAAGCATTGAAAAGGGCAGAGGCGCATGGACATTATTTCTCCCCCTCGACTGAATAAGTCGCACCTTTCGCCCATCATGACAATATTCTGGATAGAAATCACCAATTGTATTGATTTGGAAATTTTTAAATGTAAAGAATTATAATTACATTTTTAAAATATAAACTATTTACCACATTTTTTGTGTGTGTACTTCTGGGACTTTGACAGGGCATCTCACATGTCAGGCAAGCACTCTACCATTTAACTACCCCTGAACACCCATATTTCCCTTTATAACTGCATTATTTTCTACCTTCGTGTAGACGAAGTTCTCAGGAAATTAGATGGATATTTTCAAGCCTCTTATATGTCATTCACAAGCAAATTAAAATATCAAAAAAGATGGCAAAGTTCTAATTGTTGAGCAAAAAAATGTTCTAAAATTAGTATAGCATAACTTAAAAGCAGAAGGGCCCTCTATTTACATAAAAGTAGCATTTTATTCAAATTAGAACATTTATAATAATTACATCTTCCTAATATAGAAAAGAGATACAAATCTGGAACCATGCCCATCTCTCTCTAATGAATTAAAGTTGCTTAAAATACTGAGGGATATAGCAATCAGATTTTTTTTTTATTCCTAAAAAAGACAATGATCATTATGTTTATTGGGAACAAATAAATTAGTTGGTTTCAATCATTGAGAATTCATATAATGACATTGTTAATTATATCTTCCATTGTAATATGTAAGTCACTTAATTGTGCAACCCACTTTAAACATAAAGGTTTTTTTTTCTTTTTTTCTTAATGTTACTATGGATTCAACCCTGGGTTGAATCCATAGTAACATAACCTAGGCAAGTATCCTGTAACTGAGCTACATCCCATCCTCTTAATAGTATTTTATACAATCTGCAGTTTGCATCTTTTTACCCTGTTGTTGAACCTATTTTAAACAAAGAATTTCTTGACAAACATATATTACCCATAAAATATCATAGCCATCTATAGTCTATGATAATAAGAGCTAGTATCATTTAAAGCTCTTTAAATTCATAACTCTGAGGTAGCATATTAATATTGTTCTTTTTCTGAATAAATATTGAGTTAAGGCCATCTTAAGAGACTTCTCCAAAGTGTATTTTGTTGCTGTTGAGCAAAATAAATACTCAGACCTAAGTGTTCTGTATCAAAATTCAGTGCTCTTTTTTAAAACATAATAGATCCTCTTTGATTTTTCTATATCTGTGAGTATACTAAAATTTTACCTTCTAAACAATCCATGAATAAAATAAATTTTAGTTAATGATGAGAGTTCCAAACCATCTTTGACCCCATTCTTGTCCTGTTCTTAAATTTTTGCTCAAATACAATTATCGCTCCCAATGTCTTGGCCAGGTCTTTCATTTATTTTCATTAATGAATCATCATTCCAAGTATATTTAATGCTTCCATGAAGCATTTGTCTCCCAGCACATGACTGTATTCCGTCAATATCTAGCAAGTGCTCTGGTATCAGGGATTCTTGCCAGCTACCTACAGCCAGGCAGGTGCCTTACTTGTATCACAGCTGTGACATGATATTTGAGTTAAAAGAATTATAGAGTGTTGAATATAATAGGTAAAGGCTGTTGATGAATAATTTTGATAGTGTAGGCATTTCCTCTCTGATAAGATGTAATTCATCATTAGTTTTATTCCTTTGAAAGATTCTGATTTTCTTGAGTTTTATTCTCACTAGCCATGTGTGTATGAATTTCAGATATACATATCAAAATTTATATACACACACACACATATATATATATATACATATGTGTGTGTGTGTGTGTGTGAGATATTTCATAAGGGACCCTTGCAAGCTAAGCTTAGAGAAGATTCATTATTTTCTTAAATATATTTTATGAAACATATTTATGAAACTTTAATTCAATTGAAGGTATATTTATTACTGCTTTAGATTGTTTTCCTAGCTGAAAAATAAAAATTACCATTTTGTCTTTTCAACAACATTATTGTACACGTACCATGAGGCAGATACTGAATTATATCAAATGCCTTTGCTATGTCTTCTTTTGAGATTGCTTACTCGTTTTTCTTTGATCAAGCTGTTTTCTTGTTATTGAGTCAAATTCCTCATGTATTTTTGGATATCAAATCATTGTACCAGATGTATGATTTATATATATTTTCTCCCAATTCATTGGTGGTCTACCCTTTCTTTATTGCACCCTTGGTTTTGCAAAGCCTATTTAGTTTAATGTAAACATATTTGTCTGCTTCTGGTTTTGCTGTTTTTGCTTTGGGACTCATATCCCAAAACTAAAATGCAGTTTTGACTCCCTGTCTAAAGAAATACAAGTTGTTTAGGAGAATGTTTGGAGATTTTGGTTATTTTCTATTGTTTGACTTCTAAATGATTAGCTTTTTCCCCTCTAATTCTGTTGGCAATTTAGTCTTCTGAAAAACTAAAAATTTAGTCAGAGAAAATTTTTGAATAATTTTTCTCATTTTATATTTGATTTCAAAGCCCACTGCTATTTTTTCAATGTATTATTTTTCCATTCAACATTTTGTTCAACCTCCTATTGACTTGTGTGTCTTCAAGAAATTTTCAACAAGGATCATGTATTCATTCACCATTTTCCAGTTAATGATATCCCAATTTTCTTCTATCACTCTACTTGCTCTCCTACCTTTATTCTAAATGCTTCTATTTAGGGTCAACTACATTCTTCACTCTGTGAGTACCAGCATGTAATTTAGGACTGGCAAATCAGAGGACCACCATAGCAATCCAGAAATGGATTATAACAAGAGTCTTCAATGTGCTTCTGCCAGAGCTATTTTCAAAAAATAAAAATAAAAACTCCTCTCTGTCTCTCCAGACCATGTGAAAATTAAACTAACCAACCCAACAAAGATGAGGCAGGCATATGGAGGGAAACAATGATCTTTAAAATTCCCCTTACATATGAAGCTAATTTGATTGACTTCTCTGCAACTTAAAGCATACAAATCAATTAATATTGTGCATTTCCCTAGTCTCTGCATATTTTGTACCCCACACTTTAGTGGACCATTAATAAAAATTTAGGGTCTCATTTTTTCTTAAAGATATGAAGGTGGTAGTGTATTACCAAAGGCGTTTAAAGCCACTACTCTCTCTGTAGTCTTCCCAAAAGGTTTTTTAAAATTCTTTTTCGTTGTAGTCAGACACAATACCCGTATTTTATTTATTTATTTTTATGTGATGCTGAGGACCGAACCCAGCACCTCACACATACTAGGCGAGCACTCTACCACTGAGCCACAACCCCAGTCCCCCAAAGAATTCTTAACCAAAGAAATAGACTCATACTGGTAGCTTTATGAAGAAACTGGAGGGCAAGAAGGAGATTTCAGCTCTACATAAATACTCCTAGTCCCTTACTTGTTAGAGCTAAATTTACAAGTCTCAATCTAATCAACAAGATTAGAATAGAAATTGAATATACTTGGAACCAAAAGTACAAAATATTTTATTAGAAATTTATGTAGAGTGAGGTTATTTGGATAAATCACAGTATAAGCTTTATGTGATGGTTCTAGGCAGTCTTGCCACATCGGGATGGAGTTTGATTCAGATGGTAGATAAGGTTAAATAAGGTTATGAAAAATGTTTTATTTGAATTTCTGTTTTTTATAAGTTTTATAAAATTAATTTAACAGAATTGTTTTTGAAAAAGCAGAGTAAGCTCATCTCCCAGAGAGTTTTCTCAGTTAACTGGCATGACATGTTCTACATAATACTGCCCTACAGCTATAAATAGAGTGTAAGATAACAAAATAGATTGGTACTCCTATTCTGATATCCTTCAAGCCCTAGGAACACATTTGTAACAATAATTTTGTTTGAGTTTTTATTTTTATATTATTAATATAAGTAAATTAGAACACTTTTTTTTTTACCAACTCTATAGAGCCAGTAAATAGTTTCCCCAATGGATAACACACACACACACACACACACACACACACACACCCATTTATTAATCCCAATTACAAGTCAGTGCCTCTTCTAAATGTCCAAAATAAAAATATACACTAGTAAACACACAAGTGAAATACAAACATATGGATATGGCAACAGAAGTTATACGGGTTAGAGAAGGCTGCAGTTGGAAGCTGAGGGTGTAGAAAGATCATTTCTACTAGAGTAGCACAGAGTGGGGCTTTGCATATTCACTAAAGATGTAAATGGAACCTCTATGGGAATGTTGTCTAAGCAGAAAGAAGCTTTTTTGTATTTTATGCTGTGCTGATGACACAAGAACCTTATAATTCCACCCGGGTCATTACAGTGCCATTTGGCAACTCATCCTCATCCTTTTCCAAGAAGGTTATCACACCTTCTGCAACATACTTAAGTATCCCACTCTTGCTCTTTAAAAATACATAAACTGCAGATCCATGTAGAAGTAGAAACCTAATCAAATGGGCTTTTCAAGTACCTTCAGTTGCCCTGTGACTGTGGTCCATTCATTGATACATAGCGAATCTCCACATACCCTCCACCCACCAACACTATCCATTTCTGTGGGAAAGTTTCTCATGAAATGCTATCAGGTACTTTAATTCCTTTCATAAACTATCATTCTTTAATAAAAGGGAGTAATATTTTGACAAATGGTTTATATAACTATGCTCCTTAGCAGTGGGCAAATATTTTTGTTCAGCAAGAAAATTCATCTACCCTTACCTACCAGTCTGTTTCCTTGATTGTTCCCCAGCATGGAGGGCTGGTAAACAAACATTTTCATTATTTTTAGTTCCATTTATGCATGTAAGATCACAAACAGACACACATACACACACACACACACACACACACACACACACACACAACTTTGCTTTCAAAATAAAACATAATTACCTTTCTTCCACCGGTTTGAAAATTTTAGGCAATCTGGGTTCTTTGTGCAGAAATATTTTAGGATATTGTGCCATAAATGCCTCATGAGTTGCTAACATACTGTGAGAACTCCACCTTTAAAAAGAGAGAAATTGAAGTGTAAATATTCAACAAATTTCAGAGCTTTCACTTAGTACATACCAATTAATTCTATATCAAAATATTAAACTAAGCTTTCTTAAGACTTTGATTTCTATAATTAATACTGTTAATTCTGCTACTGTTACAGATAATAAAAATCCCTCCAAAATGCTTCACATTTACATATACACTACTGGAAAATATATGTGAGTCTTTGCGATGATTTTTGAAAATTCCTTATACTGTATTTTTAGATCTGAAATAAAGCATTATTTGGTGAAAATATTAGCATTTCCCAACTTCAGAAGATCACTGAAATCATCTGGCATGTCTTTGATAAATAAAGATTTCTGATTCATTTCCTGATGAATAATAAACTCTTAACAGTAGAGGCCAGGTGGCCTTCTTATTTTCAGTATCCTCCTCCTTTCTTAGCATGGTGGAGCACATCTGTAACCCCAATGACACTGGAGTCTGAGGCAGTAGGATGGCTAATTCAAGACCAGCTTCAGTAACTTAGCAAGATGCTGTCTCAAAAAATTTAAAAAGGCTGGGGATTTAGCTCAGTGGCAAAGTTCTCTTGGGTTCAATCCCCAATAACAAACAAACAATAAAAATAAATAAATTCTCCTCCAAATGTACATTACATTGTGGCCATATTTTGAAAACATTAAAAGTGCCAGTAAACAAGAAATATAGCCAATTATTATTAAATATTAGGTAATGACACTTGTTTCTGGAAAATCTGTATCAATTTTCAATTGACAATTATCATGAAATGTTTTTTAAAATGGTAAACATTAATTATGACAGCTTATTTCAATAATTAGCAAACATGATCATACTTTGAATTGAACACTGACAAACATCTTAGTCAATATTTGCCTCATGGCAATGAATACGAAAGTCCTCAAGAGAAGTTTTCTTAATATATTGTCAATATAAGTAATAACACATTCAAAAATATTTATAACGCCGTTTTTTCCCTCTTGGCTAACGTTCCCAAAATACCATATTGATACTTTATACACGATAAATGTCATACACTTTAAGAATCTTATTGATCTTAATTGATTCAAACAATAAAATGTGGATGTGATTTAGGAGGACATCATACTCTTTAATTCCTTTTCTCACTCTACAAAGATAGATTGATCAAGTATCTACTCTTTAAATCTGACCACTCAGTTCCATGTAGATTTTGGAAAATTCACAAAGATTTTGGAAATTCACATTCTATAATCACCTATTTTACATATCCTTTTTTTATTAAGTACTTGTTATATTCCAAACAAGGATCTTTGCCACAGTCTGGCTGGGCACAATTCAGGAGCCACTTGTCAAAAGAAACGAACTTTATTTTTAGAACACACGCCACACCACACAGCTCTTCAGGAAAACCCTCAGAGCCCAACTGCCACCACCAGCTTCCCACAAGCCTCTCAACCTCCCCCACTCCTCCTGCTCTTGAGGCCGATAGGCTGGGTCTTGTGGGCAGAGCCAAAAAAAGTCCCCCAATGAGCAGCTCTGTGGTCTGAAAGGGTGGGGAAACAGCCCAATGAGCATCACCACAGAGGAGCCAATCAGCTGGCAGCTGGAAGTTTGCTGGGGCCCCTTTGGCTGTGGCTCTCAACAGATCTTTATAACTATTTTTCTCATTGCATATTTATACAATCTAATAATGTTGACACATTTTATTGCTCATTGTACACATAAAGAAACTGCAACCCTAATAATTGACCTAATTCATATGAAAAAGAGGTGGAAGATACAGAATCCAAATGAGAATGGAATTGACTCATAACCTCTGGGATATACTGTTCTCAATCAAAACTGTTAGTTCCTGCTATATTCCAGGCACTATTTTAGGCAGTTTATAGGTAGCAGGTCATTTAATTCTTGCACAGTTATATTAGCTAGATAATGCAAACACTTTCATTTTAGACATGTAGAAACTGAGACCCAAAGAAGTATTGAGGTCTTTCTATCTACATGCAGTCCATGCTACAAGTCTTGAAATCTTATAATAATCTGTGATTTAGATAGATCTTGTAGCTAAAAACTTTATACCAAAATACTGAGACTTTTAATCTTGTCATTTTCTATGTGTATGCCTAAACTTCCACTTTTGCCCAATCCTTGAGAATCTCCAAGATGTGGTAGCTGGTGCACATGAACCTAGTGTTTGTGACCTGGGTCATCAAAGGTAGTGCATCTAAGAAGTGAGATATGTGGAAGGCTGACATGGAAGAGTGACATACTGCAACTACAGAGGACATGATTGTCAGAGTGAATTCCTAAGTGTTCCATGATGCTAATGTCTATGTCACAAAAATGCAATTCAGCAGTCTACTTTCATGTTTTGAACACCTTATATTCAGGGATCTCAAAATTCAATGCTGAAAGTGCCCAAGTAGGTATAATAAAGTGGGCACTGTGGTGAACTGAAAAGAGCATGTCCCCAAAGAGTGTATCATGGCCTTAATGTTAAAAGATCATTTTTAATGTACTGAGAGAAGTCCAACAGGGTCAGATCCTCTGTTTTTTTTAAACAGAAACTAGAAATCTGAACTCTTATATAAAAAAATCTGATTTTGAAATATTGGTTACTGCTGTGCCCTCCAAAACAAAATGAAACAAAACTTCATATGTTGAAACCCCATCCCCTAATGTGACTGTGTAGATCCCCTAACTGGAAGGGAAGGTGAAAAATGTAGTTTAGCTCAGGAAGAAAAAGACTCAGTTTGGGGAAATACAGAGAAGTTTTTGAGATAGATATAAACATCAGTGACTATTAGAACTGAAATCATTCTTATTATTTAGACATATAGCTATCATGTCATGGATTTAAAAAATGAGGCATACAAAGTTTAAATGACCTGCCTATGTTGATATAAAGTAGAAAAATTAGTACAAAACTCTAGGTTGTCTTGACTCCAAGGCTACAGTTGCTCCATTTCTCAAAATAGGCACATTCTAATAAAGAAGGCAAGAAGTAACAACACAGGTCACCCAGTTAGGGAATCCTATCAAGGACATTAACTTGTGTCCCCTCTACTGACCAAGCCTAAGCATAGTAGGCATATTCATAGCTGAGTTATAGTCAAAGTAATTTGAAAGAGAGGAAACTCTCACTCCCTAACTTAACTGCCCATCAAAAGTTCCCCTTATGACATGATATAAGAAAGAAACTTCCTATTAAATTAAGCCACTGAGATTTAGAATATTTCTAGTTATTCTAACAGTATTTCTTCAACATCCCATTCTGTTCTTCTCACAGATCAGAGAACATAATAAGCTCTTAATAAAATGTTTATTGATTAATTACATTTATAGGTTGACCCTGAGGCAACATACATATTTTTTTTATTTTAAATTAAGCAAGCCATAAAAGTTTAATCTTTTTCACTGCTTAAGGATTGTTTCCTTCTCGATTTTTAATGAATATTGCAACATCTACATATTTATTTGATAAAATGAAAAGAAACATGTCATTCTTTTATGACAGGTGCACTTTGACACAAATCAGGCTGAGTACATATACATACATAGCTCCATAATGGTTCTCATATTTTCCCTATGAGTTGAAGAAAAATACGTTGGATTGTTACAGAACATTTAACATTACGCCTTCAACCTAAATGCATTTAATCGGCAGTCTTTCCAAATAGTAACACTACAAAGTATCACTCTGCCCAGTGTTCTCTATACTTATTTTAATTTCTTTGGAAATGTGTTTGGTTATGAACTCATAATTGTAGTTATGTATAAAATTAATATAATTATACATAAAACAGAGAACCAGGTGAGAATAAATATTGAAAATCTGTTCCTTTGAAAGAACACTTGCTAAAACAGGAAGAGATGGCTGCTTCCTCAAATGCACAAACACCAATGGGAGAACACAAAGATTGCAAAGGATTAGGGAAAGTCAGGCATGGTAGTATACACCCGTAATCCCAGAGATTCAGGAGGCTGAGGCAGGAGAATCACAAGTTCAAGGCTAGACTCAGAAACTTAGGGAACCTAAGCAACTTAGCAAAGACCTTGTTTCAAAATAAAAGACAAAAAGATCTGGGGATGAAGTTCAGTGGTAAAGTGCCCCTGGGTTAAAAGCCTAGTATCAAAAGAAAAACAAAAACCTGAAAAAGGATCAAGGAAATATGACACAACCAAAATAAACTAATAAAGCTTCACTTCTTCATCCCAAAGAAGAAAAGGTCTATCTAATCAGAGGACCAAAACAAAAAAGAATGACAAAGTCCTATGCATATTGTAAACATTGAGGATGTGGCTCTATGTAGAGCACTGAGTGGCATGTTTAAAGCCCATGATTCAATCCCTAGCACTGCCAAGAAGAGAAAAAAAATGACATGAAAAGCCATCAAGAGAACCAATATTTTCATAATAGGATTTTGAGGAGAAGAAGAGGAGAAAGAAAAAGGACCAAAAAAAAACATACTTAAAGAAATATTGACAGAAAATTTTCCAAGTCCAGGGAAAGATGTGAATATCCAGGCACAAAAAACTTAAGAGAACTCCAATCAATAATCAAGAGTCATCATAATCAAACTATCAAAAATCAATGACAAAGAAAGAACTTTGAAAGAAGAAAGATATAAGAAACATATCACATAAAGAGAGTTCCATAATCTGTCAGTGAATTTCTAAGCAGAAACCCTAAAAAACAGAAGAGAGTAAGATAATATAGGTGAAAGAAAGAAATTCAGCCAATCAGGAATACCTGGAAAAGCTGTCCTTCAGAAATGAGGGAAAAGAAAAAGAAACTTTTCCAGACAAACTAAAGCTAAGGTAATTCATCACCAATAACCCTATTGTACTGGCATTGCTAAAGGGATGATTTTTAAGCTGAAAGGAAAGACAACTAATTAATAACATAAAACATTTGGAAGTACAAAACAATAAAATAAATAATGCACAGTCAAATTCAGAATATTTTAGTAAAGACAATATGTAAATTAAAGACA